CTAGATTCAGAACTGGCTCTGGGAAAAGTACAATATTTAATTTATTAAGTAAAGCATAATTTTAAATTATAGAAGATGAAGATGATAATCACTTGGTCTTCTCATAGAATTAGGAAATATTTAATAGATGATAGGAGGATAGGATTCAACAACAAAATTACCTAAACTTTATTATTCACATTCCATATTAAAAGTCAATTTAAAAATCAAAATAAGTTTTATTCTCACCTTAAGAAATATTNTATTCCGAAATTCAAGGATTCTTTTAAATAAAAAATAAATGAATGAAATAAATACTATTCTTTCAAGATATTTTAAATAAAGCAACCCATTTAAAGAATCTCAAAGTTTATTAGATTTGTTGGAAAAGAGGACATAAGTTTGGTTAAAAAAATTGATACTTTGTAATTTTGCTTAAAGAATTGTTATTAAGAGCTTTTCAGCTCGTGCTTAGCACTACCAACAGAAGTCTCTTCTGGGCTAATAAAAGTTAATTTAATTTTTTTTTGAATTTTCTATTTATTTATTTATGTTGCAGGATATTATAATTTCATTTATTGTCAAGATGTCTAATGGATATTATTACCCTAAATCAAAGTAACACAAATCAGGGTAATACCTGATTTGGATTTTCAACATTTTTCTTATTCATTTCTGAATAATTAAGTATTACTATTCCCTATTATTTCATTAAATTCAGTACCTCTATACAGGTTAGTTTTTTCTAATTAATATAGAAAATCCATCCTTGAATCTCTTTGACCAAAAACTTCATTAATTTTTTAATTGTGATAACCTTCATCTAAACCATTATGTATAATTTCATCATAATTTCTAACGAGATGTAATGTATTTTGAATATAGGGGCTTATAAATGAATGTATTCCATAGCTACTACATTGTGATTTACAATATTTTTTTCTACGATTTATTAAGACTAATTCTTTTTTCCTAGTTAAGATTTTAGTTTTATTCTGATTAATTTTAAGTGAAAACCTTTAACTACTCAATATTAATTTGAATATTAAATTTTAAATTAAAAGTTTATTTTTGAGTTTAAATTTATAAGTTGATATTTTTAAATTAAATTTTTTGATAAAATATTTAATATAAAAAAGTTAAAATATATTATTTTGTTTTAGTATATTATTTTTTTTGATTGCAAAATTATTTATTGTGACATTCAATTTTTCTATTTCTGCTTTATTTGAAAAGTTCCAAAAAATAATTTCTCCTAATAAAACAAGATTCAAGGAGAGGATATTCGAGAAACCATAAACCTGAAGAGAATGAATGGGTAATTAATTGAGGAGGAAATACAATGAGTAAAAATTCTTAATTTCCTATTTCACACATAATATTATAAAATTTAATAAAAATCTATCAAACTCTTAAAATTTTCAAAATTATATTATTTAAACCTAATAACTATTGTCTATGTATATGAACGGTAATTAAATTATTTATCTTTGTTCTTAGAAAAAAAATATAGAAACTAATTATTAATAATAAATGCTCAACTATCATCATAATCTTTTTAGAGATGTTATTGAAAAATTCCAAAAAATCAAAGAATTTTGAAGATTTCTTTTATAATGAATAAAATGTCTCCCTAAGATATTCTATCTTCTGTTTCTATTATATTTTTTCTCGTTTTATTCCTTTAAATACTTAATTATAAATAATTTCAAACAAAAATGAAGAATTCTTATTATTTTCAATTTTAATAATTTTTTGGATTAATCTTATAAGAATTTAATAATTTAAATGATAGAAAAAGTCAGATTTTATTATTTTAAATAGAGTTTAAACTTTTTAATATGGTTCTTAAAAGTAAAATAATTTGGTTGTAAGCTACTAGAGCGTATTTAATAGAATAAATTAAGTAATGTAATAATGCTAGATTCAGAACTGGCTCTGGGAAAAGTACAATATTTAATTTATTAAGTAAAGCATAATTTTAAATTATAGAAGATGAAGATGATAATCACTTGGTCTTCTCATAGAATTAGGAAATATTTAATAGATGATAGGAGGATAGGATTCAACAACAAAATTACCTAAACTTTATTATTCACATTCCATATTAAAAGTCAATTTAAAAATCAAAATAAGTTTTATTCTCACCTTAAGAAATATTTAAGTAAAAGCTATTTTCAATATTCACAAAGAATTTATTTAGGATATTTAAAAATTAATAATTGAATAATTAAATGGAATGGAAATATAAATAAAACTAATGTTAGACTAGCAAGATTCTACTCATGAATAAAAGATTCCAAAAAGTTATAGTAATTTATAGGCATATCAATTAACATCCTTTTCTGATATCGACCCTCTCTAATTGTAAAGCTTTTTAAAACAAACTTCTAAAAATTAGATACTTTTTTTGAAATTAAGGATTAAGATATAGATTGAATTGATTATTCAAAAGAGCTTTTAGATATGGAAATATCTATAGAAATAATTATTTACAATAGGTAAATTATTGTTTAAATAAAAAGTATATTTAAATTGAAATTGAATGTGATTACAAAACAATGTTTTATGCATTGAAATTTGAGAAGAATCTGCATTCAATTATAACAATAAATGGATTTTAGCAATTATGGCATTTAAAAATCTATTAGGTAAAATTAAAAAGCTTTAAATAATCTTGATTAATTGAATCTATTATTAGATTAATCTATTGATAATTTTAAAGTCTTCCTTAATTTAATGATTAATTCACATCATTTAACGAGTTTAAAAAATTTCCTATTGATAAATTATTTTTTAGCTAATCTTTATAAATATAATTCTTTTTAGATATATATAAAAATATATCCTACTAATCCGATATCTTGTTAACTTCTATTTAAGGTGTAAGTAAATAACTATTATCGTTTAAAAGGTATTCGATAATTCTAGTACATACCTAAAATTATTATCAACAAAATTTTTTTAATGATTTTTTCTAATTAAAATTTATCTCTAACTGATGTCATTTATAATCCCATTAATATTTCAGTCAAGGAAGTTTAAACTTCTATTATTTGAATAATATATTTCAAATTCTATTTTAAATTCTTATTATGCTTTGTATTCCTTTTAATTGATTTATTTTCATTATTGGATAGCCTCAATTTCATTAGTTTGAGTATTTTTTAGCTTTATATAACAATATGATAACTTAAAAGATATAAATTATTAAATCATATTACAAATATAAATATTGATAAAGGACAATCTGCGTATTGANGTTTTATTCTCACCTTAAGAAATATTTAAGTAAAAGCTATTTTCAATATTCACAAAGAATTTATTTAGGATATTTAAAAATTAATAATTGAATAATTAAATGGAATGGAAATATAAATAAAACTAATGTTAGACTAGCAAGATTCTACTCATGAATAAAAGATTCCAAAAAGTTATAGTAATTTATAGGCATATCAATTAACATCCTTTTCTGATATCGACCCTCTCTAATTGTAAAGCTTTTTAAAACAAACTTCTAAAAATTAGATACTTTTTTTGAAATTAAGGATTAAGATATAGATTGAATTGATTATTCAAAAGAGCTTTTAGATATGGAAATATCTATAGAAATAATTATTTACAATAGGTAAATTATTGTTTAAATAAAAAGTATATTTAAATTGAAATTGAATGTGATTACAAAACAATGTTTTATGCATTGAAATTTGAGAAGAATCTGCATTCAATTATAACAATAAATGGATTTTAGCAATTATGGCATTTAAAAATCTATTAGGTAAAATTAAAAAGCTTTAAATAATCTTGATTAATTGAATCTATTATTAGATTAATCTATTGATAATTTTAAAGTCTTCCTTAATTTAATGATTAATTCACATCATTTAACGAGTTTAAAAAATTTCCTATTGATAAATTATTTTTTAGCTAATCTTTATAAATATAATTCTTTTTAGATATATATAAAAATATATCCTACTAATCCGATATCTTGTTAACTTCTATTTAAGGTGTAAGTAAATAACTATTATCGTTTAAAAGGTATTCGATAATTCTAGTACATACCTAAAATTATTATCAACAAAATTTTTTTAATGATTTTTTCTAATTAAAATTTATCTCTAACTGATGTCATTTATAATCCCATTAATATTTCAGTCAAGGAAGTTTAAACTTCTATTATTTGAATAATATATTTCAAATTCTATTTTAAATTCTTATTATGCTTTGTATTCCTTTTAATTGATTTATTTTCATTATTGGATAGCCTCAATTTCATTAGTTTGAGTATTTTTTAGCTTTATATAACAATATGATAACTTAAAAGATATAAATTATTAAATCATATTACAAATATAAATATTGATAAAGGACAATCTGCGTATTGATTTTTAATTAAAATTATTATTTTTTTAAATTAAATAGTTTATTCAATAGTTTTTCGAATATATCTAAATTAAAAATCAATTCAGCAAAAGTTTGGAGGAGAGCTCTAGTTAAAATTTTAGTTAATTATTATTGAATTATTTATTGTTAAGTCAATATCTTTCAGTTGTTTTTTACTGATAAATATTTTTATAAAATATTTGAACTTTCTAGTAAAAATTATTCTAACAAAATAAATAATTGGTTTAATTTATATTTTGAAATCTAAGTCCATAAAAATATATTTTTAAATAATAATTATCCTAACACTCTATTTGAAATAGTAAATTAATTTCTAAGTTCAAAGTCAATATAATTTTAAGATTTATGAATATTGAAAATTTGTAAAAATTTTAATAAAATTTTCTTTTCAAAAATCAAATTAAAAATAGATTCAAAGAAGATTGACCCAAAGATATAGAGGGAGAATATGGAAGTAGAATATAAAAGAAAATGAAAAGATTTTGAACAATAGATGGAAGGATGAAGAAATATAAATATAAAATAAAAAAAGAGAAATCGAAAGAATAACAGCATATTAAAAAATTATAATTATTGCAATAGGCTAACTTGAATCCTTTTTCTGAAATTTATAGATGGTTATGATAATTTAAAATGTAATCTTTGTAGTTTAATAATAGAGATTCGATTCAATAATATAAAAAAGGAAAATATAATAGATAGGATTGAATTAAAAATTGGATAATATCCTACTAAAGCCAGATAAAAGTATTAAGTTAGACCATCTATGGCTCCAGGATATTTTTATTAAATCGATGTTTCAGCCAAAAGTGAAGTACATTTTTAGGTATTATAGGACTAGCAATGAATGAATTGATAATAAGTGATTAATTTAATGAAAGAATTTTTTAGTTTTTTAATATTTGATTCTTTTATTCAATTGTACAATTTTAATTAAAAACTAAAATAAGTTTTGATGTATTTCTTAACATATACCTGAAGAATATCTATTTAATTTTTAAGACTCTAAAGATATTATAATATTATTGTTAGATTTTTAAATTCTTCAAATCATTTATTTTTAAAATTTAATTAAGAAGTAATAAGTTTATAGTTGCATTAAAGATAACTTGAAAAAAAATAATTTAAGATAAATCGGCTAAATTAATCATTTTATTATCTTCTCCAATCAAAGCATTAAGTATCTTAGAAAATAGTAAGTAAACATAATCAAATTTACTTAAAAGGAAATCAATTTTAACATAATAAACTGAAAATATGAATTTTTTAATATATTAGTCCTTTTATTTTTTTTTTACTTCTGGTTTCATGAATTTTTATAAAATCAATTAATTAGCTACTTATAATTTATTATGGTGATCCTACAATTTATAGTAAGAAGATATTCCTAATAAAGCTTCAAGATTGATAAATGATCTTAAAGAAATATTGATTTGAGAGTACATTTGGAAATCAGAATTCAGAATAAGAGCTTCGATAGGATGAAAAGTAAAGCATATTCATGATAATTATGTTGTAAAAACATTAGATTTATTTAATCAAACTTATTGTTATTAGTAAATTATTTTATTGATTCTTTATAGCTCAAAGACATTAGTGGATGAATTATCATCAAAAAGTGAAAGAAAATTTCAGAGTTCATAATTAATGAATTCCCTTGTATAAATCTGTGAAAACTATATATTATAATATTGAATAATTTACTTTATCTATTATAATATTTAAAATGGCATTTATTTTTAATAAATTGAGTCAAAGATTTGATTCTTGTCAAGGAATTAATTTATTATTTCTACAGTAACATCAATATTTTATATTTATAAATCATATTATGTAAGTTTGGATTAATTCATGCTTACAGTATTTTTTCATAAGGTTATAATACATTGAATATAATTGAATATACACCTTAAGAATAATAAAATTTTATCAAATTTACTAAAAATTTTCTATTATATAGTTTTAAAGTAGGTTGCAAAATTTTATGGGAAGATGTTTTATTTTAGAATTTAATTTACGATAAATTTAATTGTTCGTTTAGGATTAATTACAATAGATTTTTCTAACACTTCGTTAAATTTTATTATATTTGCATAACATTATTACAATATTTTATTGTAAAATTAAAATTTAGTTTTGGCTTTAGAAACTATTAATTCCTGAAAGTAATATTTAAATTAATTTGAACAAAATATTAATCTTTAAAACATTTCACTATCAGTTAGGTTCATTTTAATGAAACTTGCAATTTATGGTTTTTATTCATTTTAATCAAGTCATCTTTATTTAAAATTGATTGTTTGAAATAAAAAATAACATATTTTGTTATTTATAAGTTGTATATTTTGAATTAATCCTAATATTGTGCATTTGGCAAAAGCAATAATAATTATAATTAAGGAAAACCAACTGCTATCAAATGGTTATTGATATAAATGTTGCAACATTAATTGGATAAGAGAAAACTAATAAATTAAGATACAATCTATTTAAATAAACACAACATATCTTTCAAAAATTCATATAATATACTGGATTAATTAAGTTTTTGAAAACTGTACCAAATATCTTATTGATGTTAAATATATTTTAAGATAGAATGTTTTATAATTTTTTGGATAACAAAATAAACATAAAACAAATATAGCTTAAGTTAAAATCTTTAAAATTATTAAAATAATAAAAAAATACAATTTATCTTATTATAACATAAATACATATTCAAGATTTTTTTTATATTATTTACAAAACTAGCATCTATGTAAACTCTGTAATCTTATAATATTATTTATTGATGATAATTTCTTTTATGACATTCTAGTCAATAAGTTTACTTCTTAGTTTTACTTAATTTTTGTTTTTTATAAGATTTTCTTATTATTCAATTTCCTTCTTGATTTATTAATAATCTCTTTCCATTTCATCAATCATCTTCTTATTGTAATTATGAAATAGAATATTTTTGTATTTTTTTAATAAATCTTAAGTTTCCTTCTCTTTTTAAGTTTTATCTTCCAATTATTAATTTTATTTTTTTTGAAAGGCAATAATATATGTACTTTCCTCAATAATTTTTGATTGTAATAGTTTATTCTTTTATTTATCTGCATTTTTCTTTAATCCTCTCACAATATCTCGTTAAATGATATGACATCATATAATTAATTAAAGTCTATAATTTTTCATATAATTCTACATTAATTTTATATTCTTTTTTGAATTATTAAATTTAAGGAATTTATTAGATTAATTAATGTATTTGTGAAGTTAAATCTAAAATTTTAAGTTTTATTTGATTAAAAAATTATGGAGTTAAATATTAATTTTTATCCTAGGAAATTATGCTATTTATTTCTGATAGTATTTATTTTTCTTTTTCTTTTAATTATTCATATTAATCAATGAGATTATTATCTATACCATGAAATTATAATTCATTTGGTTTATTTTGCACATTTCCAAGCACTTATTCTAATATTTTTGTTTTCTTTAAATTATATTATTGTTATTTTCTAATAATTTACTTTGATTAATCAAATTTTTCTTTTTTGTATTGAAAATGCTTTATTGTTTGATTAAATAACTTCTAATTAGATTTATTAATTTATGAATATTATTTTAAGGTTTCTACTTCCTAAACCAATTGATTATACAAATTTTCTCTTTTTTCTTAATTTCTTTTAGATTTTGAATTTTATCTTAATCAATATTAACTTTTTAAAGTTCCTTTGAAAATTGCATAAATTTTTCTTATAATTGATTAATTAATTGTAAAAATTCTTTTTCTATTCCGCTTTTGTTTTCAACTCTTATGTTTTAAACTATTTATTAAAGTTAATTAACTTGTTCCTATTAATCTTCAAATTATTTTTTAAATTTCTCTTAAAAGAATTCCAAATATAACATTTGATTTTAATCTCTTAGGATGTAAGTTAATTAAATTCTGTAAAATTTTTGAATTATTCTTAAATTTAATTCATATTTTAATCAATTTTTTTTTATTTATTCATTATCTTAGTAAATTCATTGTTACAATATTCATTGTTAATTAAATTATTTATTTAAGTTTAAAACTTATTCATTTTAACTATAAATTCATTTAATTATCCTTCAGTATTTGTTAATTGTTTTTTTCTTTCCACATGTTGTTATTCAATTTATTAATCTTCATAAATTTATTCTTGCAATTAATTCTATTTTTTTTAAAATTCATATAAATCTTGATTAATTGAATCAATTATTTGATTAAACTATTGATAATTTTAAAACACACCTTTATTAAATAATTAAATCAAACAATTTACTTATTAAAAATCATTTTTTATTTCAAATAACAATTGATCTATTTTATTTTGATATTTTTAATTTTTAGATAGATATTAAAATTTATCTTAGTAATCATCTAAATTATTGGCTAATTCAATTATTTATCTATGATTTTCATCAATAAATTTGATATCAATTAATTCAATAGATTTATTTGTTTCATCAATTAAATTTTTAAGTCTTTTTTAAACTTATTAAAGTTCTTCAACCTTACAATTTAAGGATTAATAAGCAATAATTTGCTAACTTAACCCAAATTGATTAATCATTTTTCCTTATTATTATAAAACTTAAAAATCTTAAATCATTTTTTAATATTACTTTATGACTTTATAAATTTATTTTACTTTTTGAGTTCATTATTTATAAAATCTATCAACAAATTTTTTTTTTAAACTTATGTATCTAAATCTTTCAAAGGTTCTAATTTTTAGTTCAGATTTGAAATAAGTATTTAAATATTATTTTACTAAGATTATAATTGAATTAGGAAGAAATTTTTTTTTTCTTCTAATTATTTTTAATTTTCGTACACCTTTTTTTTTTCCAATTCAGTTACTGCTTTTGAGTATTCTAATAGATATTTGTTTTAAATATTTATTTCTAATTATTCTTTCATTTATTGTTCATAAGCTTATAATCTTTATTTAATTTTTTCTTCCTTTTTCTCTTTTATCTTCTATTTATATTCTTCAATCCCTTGTTATCATTCTTCTTCTTTCTTTTATTTAAATTAGTTCATTTAATTTTAAAACTATATTTCTTACTGAATTTTCATTTAATTTAATTATTCCGTATAATTTTCCTATTATAAAACATTATCTTGTTTCTATTTTATTTATGATTATAATTATATTTCTTTTATTCTTATTTACTCTTCTAATTCTAAGATCTCATTAATAATTTATCAGCAATCATTTAATCTTATTACTTTTCCATTTCTTTCTTTATTTATTTCATTTTCTCCTCATTCGATTGTTCAAACTGTTATTATTATTATTTTAAATCTTCTTCCATTTTAATTTTTATTTCTTTTTTAAATCTTTTCTTGTTCCTCATATTTCTTTTTGTCTCTCTCTTCTTAATTTTTATCTTAAATCTAGAATATAAAAGGAAATTGATTATTTGATGCTGGCTATTCGATAGAATTTTAAAAATTCAATTAAAGTTTAAAATTATTTTTTTTAACTTTGGATTGGAATCTAATTTTATTAGTTAGGAATCTATAACATTTAAAATTTTCGTTAAACAAGTTGTTCTTAATTATATGCTGTAATTATGTTTTTCAATTATATCCTTTACATTGAAAATTTTCTAAGCATCTTTTAAATTAATTCTTTTTCTTTTTGTTATATTAATATGTTGTTTTGTATTTTTTAATCGATATTTTGTTAACTACAATTTAAGATTTAATTAAATATTTCTTATTAACAATTACCTAGGATTATAAATTTAAATTACCATTAAAAAATTTTTATCATTGCCAAAGACCAAATATCAACTGATTTATCATAAAAAACTTAACTATTAAAAATTTCTAAGACTTCTGGTGCTATATAATATGGGGTTCCAACATATGCGGTCTTTGCCATCTAATTTGAAGTTTCTTTAATTAAACCTAAGTCAATCAATTTAATAATTTTTTGATTGTTTGGTTAATTAAAATATACAAACTTTTCTGGTTTCAAATCACTATGAAATAATCCTAAATCATGAAGTTAATCAACTCCTTTTACCATCTAAATATAATTATATCATTTAATTACTTAAATAAAATATTAATTCTTTTGATCATTTGACAATCTACGATAATCTTGTGTTTACATAAATTAATAGAAATCTCCATCAGCTAACTCCATCACAATTTTTAAAGAATTCAATTCTTAAAATACTTTTGTTATTCTAATTATATGACTGCAATTCTTTTAATTAATTGCTTAAATTGCTTTGTATTCATTTTGATTGATTTATTTGTATTCTTTAATAACCAAAATATCATTAGTTTTAATATCTTCTACTTTATACACAATATCTTCTCTCCCTTCACTGATTTAAATTATTATTCTGTATCTGTTTTAATATTAAATTATTTAAATGGATTTTGGATCAAATTTATTATAAGCTTTGAAAATTTCTTTTAATTAAATTCTTTTTGAGCTTCTAAATTTAAAATTTTTTTTAGCAAATTATTTTCTTTTCTTTAAATAGACTTACAAGTATCAATTTTTGAATCTATGTTTTATTGGTTGGAATATAAAAACTTTTTTTCTTTGATACTTTTAAGAAATAATTCATTTGTTAACATTTCCCACCAAATGAGTCCCAAAGACCATATATCGATTTCATTATCATATTAACCTGTAAAAATTTCTGGAGCTTGATATTAAGGTGTTCCAACTTGATTTGTCTTAAGAACATCTGAAATTTCTGTGTTTCTAGTTTATCCAAAGTCAATTAATTTAATAATCTTTTGCTTATTTGGCTTATTAATATATACAAAATTTTCTGGTTTTAAATCTCTATGAAATAATCCTAATTTATGTAGTGACTAAACTCCTTTTACCATCTAAATCTAATCATATTAATTTATTACTTAAATAAAAAATTTGTTTATTTGATCTTAACTTAATTGTTTAAATTCATCTGTTTTCATAAAATCTTTGAATGCTCCATCAGCATATTCCATAACAATCATTTTTTCTTTATTCTATTCTTATCTAACTTCTTTTATTTCTATTATATATTTCAATTTCTATTTTTATAGTATTTATATTGCATTTTATTCCTTCTCATTATTTAATCTATATTCTTTAATAGCCAAAATTTCATTAGTTGTAGTATTTTTTACCTTATAAACAATACCTTCTGAAATTCTAATAATAAAAAAAGTATTTTCATTATTTAATAGATTAATTCTTTGTTCATCAATATTTTAATACTCACTAACTCATTTTATAAACTAAATAGATTTACTCATTTATATTAATCTTAAGAACTTGAATATTAAAAACCTAAATAAACTTGATATTGTATTCTAAGTATTTCTTCNAATTGCTTTGTATTCATTTTGATTGATTTATTTGTATTCTTTAATAACCAAAATATCATTAGTTTTAATATCTTCTACTTTATACACAATATCTTCTCTCCCTTCACTGATTTAAATTATTATTCTGTATCTGTTTTAATATTAAATTATTTAAATGGATTTTGGATCAAATTTATTATAAGCTTTGAAAATTTCTTTTAATTAAATTCTTTTTGAGCTTCTAAATTTAAAATTTTTTTTAGCAAATTATTTTCTTTTCTTTAAATAGACTTACAAGTATCAATTTTTGAATCTATGTTTTATTGGTTGGAATATAAAAACTTTTTTTCTTTGATACTTTTAAGAAATAATTCATTTGTTAACATTTCCCACCAAATGAGTCCCAAAGACCATATATCGATTTCATTATCATATTAACCTGTAAAAATTTCTGGAGCTTGATATTAAGGTGTTCCAACTTGATTTGTCTTAAGAACATCTGAAATTTCTGTGTTTCTAGTTTATCCAAAGTCAATTAATTTAATAATCTTTTGCTTATTTGGCTTATTAATATATACAAAATTTTCTGGTTTTAAATCTCTATGAAATAATCCTAATTTATGTAGTGACTAAACTCCTTTTACCATCTAAATCTAATCATATTAATTTATTACTTAAATAAAAAATTTGTTTATTTGATCTTAACTTAATTGTTTAAATTCATCTGTTTTCATAAAATCTTTGAATGCTCCATCAGCATATTCCATAACAATCATTTTTTCTTTATTCTATTCTTATCTAACTTCTTTTATTTCTATTATATATTTCAATTTCTATTTTTATAGTATTTATATTGCATTTTATTCCTTCTCATTATTTAATCTATATTCTTTAATAGCCAAAATTTCATTAGTTGTAGTATTTTTTACCTTATAAACAATACCTTCTGAAATTCTAATAATAAAAAAAGTATTTTCATTATTTAATAGATTAATTCTTTGTTCATCAATATTTTAATACTCACTAACTCATTTTATTAATCTTAAGAACTTGAATATTAAAAACCTAAATAAACTTGATATTGTATTCTAAGTATTTCTTCAAATTAAAGCATTTTAAAAAATTAAAAGAATTATAAATATAAGAAAATTGCAAATAGGCTTCAAAATAACATGATTCAAACCAGAATTTATTTTTTGACAAATCAGTTGATATAACAGTAATTAGTATAATATAATAATTCTATAATTATCAATGTGTAATTAATTTAATTTACTTTCTGTTAAATGAAAAATTAATAAATAAAAAGATGCAAATTTTTAATATTGAGTCTGAATAACAAAGTATTCCAAAATAATAAAAAAAGAATTTTAAAGAATAAAATAAATTAATCATGGATAAAAATAAATTTATTTTATAATTTGAAATTCATAATCCGAATTTTTCATTTCAAATTTATAGAGAAAATAATTCATTTTTTTTTTAATGATAGATGATCCCGAAAAGAACTTCATCAAATTATAAAAATATAAAGCCTATATTAATTGTAAGGATTTTTAAGATATAGTTTAGATCTAAGAAAGCAGAATTAAACATAAAAATTAGTGATGAATTCGTGATTCCGAGAAAAAAATAGATGAAGAATTTTTATTTAGTAGCCAATTAATTTTAAGAAAAAAATAACTAGATCATTCTTTAGAAAATATTAAGATTTGTTATAATAAAATTATTTAAAAAGAATTTATATAATTTTTTAAGATAATCAATCATTCAATTATCATATTACTTTTCTTTTATTTTCAAAAATTCTTTCTTATCTGAATCATACTTCATTTCCACCCAAGTACCAACTTTTATACTTTTCACATTATATTCTCCATTATGCGTGATTAATTCTCTAAAATTAAGTTGATCATCCAATTCTATCCAATTCCCAATTTTCTAACCCTTCTCATATAATCCACCTCCTCTAATATAATAAATTTTTGAAATTATATGTACATTAATTTATATTACTTCTAAAACTCTCCCTTATACCAGGAATTCCATCTACCCACTTTCATACCTAACTAATTATATTCACCATTATATGTGACTTATGTAAATCTCGAAAAGCCTTCCCATAATTCTATCCACATTCCAATCTTAATTCCAAAAGAACTATCATATGTTCCACCGCCTCTAATACACTATAATAATTAAATCTACATTTATTTATTTATCCACCATCCATCTTCATATTCTTTAAACTAATAATCCCATCTTCCTACCTTTTTACCTTTCATATCATATTAACCATGTTAAGTAATTTCAGCATAATTTTAAAAGTTCTCCCACAATTCTACCCATTTCCCAATTTTTATTGAAGTTTCTTCTTCTTAAGCTTCAAATGATCCACCGCCTCTAACATAATTTTAAATAAAATATATACACTAATTCATATTCTTTACTCTTGCAGTGCATTATATCCCATCTGCCTATTTTAGCGCCCTTCATATTATATTCACCAGAATAAGTGACTTTAGCAAAGTCGCAAAAACCTTCCCACAACTCTACCCATTTCCCAATCTTCTATCCTTATTCACTATCATGTGAACCACCACCACTAACATATTATTATTCATATTTAAATATATACATTAATTTAAAATACATCTCGTGTTCCGCTTTATACATAATATCCCATCTACCAATTTTAAGACCCTTCATATTATATTCACCATTATAAGTAATTTTAGCCATTATCCAAAAACTTTCCCATAAATCTACCCATCTTCCAATTTTTAATCCTTATTAATTATCATATGATCCACCGCCACTAACATATATTCTAATGTTAATATTTACATTTATTTAAATTCTTTTTCATCAAATATACAAAAAAAAATATCCCATCTCCCTACCTTAACACCATTCACATTATATTCACCTTTATAAATTATTTAAGCCATGCTCCAAAAGCCCTCCCATAAATCTACCCATCTCCCAATCTTTAAACCTTCCTTATGATCATATAATCCGCCACCACTAGAATATTAATCTAAAATATTTACATTTATTTAAAATCTTACTCGTATTCCACCTTAAACATAATATCCCATATCCCTATTTTAATGCCCTTCTTATTATATTCACCATTATAAGTTATTAATTTAGAGACTTCACTACCACAAAATCCTTCATCCAGATCAATCCATTTTCCACATTTTTGACCTTGTAAATTATATTATCCCCCACCACTCAACTAATTTAATAGAATGATTACATCTTATTATTTTTATATATATAATTCCATTTATAAATTTTCTAATTATTATAGTATTATCCTACTTCAAAAACTTAAGCTTTACTAATTATTATGATAAATATCAAATTTACTCCCAATAATATTAGATTATTTCTTTCCATAATCCTTGTTTTTACCCATTCTAACGATAACCACCAACTTTTTAAATGATTTCTCCATTCCAAAAAGCAACCAATTTACTATTTTTATTTTATTGCAATTCACATTAGTCAAACCAAACGAGATATTTAATCTATTCCATATTATTTAAGATTTCTGGATTTTGTTCATTATCAGAATCTTATTATCTATATATATTTATCCATTTACATTCTTAAAATTACTCCATCTTTTAAATATTAGATTTTATGGTCTTTAAATATGATTTGGATTTTTGTTTTGATTAACATCCCTTTTAAGTTATTCCATACATCAATCTCATATTGTTTGATTTCTTATTATTAATTTGCTATTTTGGTGAGAATCAAAGGATCACTATTTATAAAATTCATTAAATAAAATATTTATTGTTTTTCTTTTCCTTCACATTTGATAAAAATGCTTAAAATAAATTTTTTTATAAAATTTAATTATTAATTAATTGTTTATTGTTTAATAAAAAACTTTTTATTTGTTGTAAATCCTTTATTTTTACAAAGCATCATTTATTTTTAATAACAAATTTTATATATATATATAAATATTAAGTCTTATAAAGACACTTCAATAATAATTTAAAAATATATTATTATTGTCTAAACAAATAATATATTTTGTTAAATACAGTTTATAATGATTTTAGTGTTCATTTTCATTTAGACTTAAAATTATTTTATCAGAAAATGATATTATAAATTGAACTCATTGATTTTAGGAGTGTATATCACATTATGTAGAAACATTGTATTCTTGTTTAAGCTTAAGGTTCTAATCAGGTTATTGACAACACCTTACCTCCCTTACACGAGATTTTAACCAATGGTTTTGGAAATTCGGTAACAAGAATACAGATTTAGAGGTTACTTATAAGATTTATTTAATGTAAGTTCAAATTATTCTTTGTTATTTAATAATAATTAATTATTTATATAATAAAAATGTTCAATTATATAAAATTTAATTGATAAAATGAATATCAATTAAGTGCTTATTCTAAATTAAATAATGGTAAATTTAAGTTGATCTCAAATGGTCTTATTTAGTTTTTATTTAGTTTGAAGTAAAATATACATTTTTTTAGAATCATAAGAAAATGTAATTTTTTCTGAGAAACCAATCAAACACTATTTGAGAATAATAAATCATATAAAATGAAATAAAATATAAAAGTTGAATGATTAATTAGTTTAAATTCCTCTGATAATATTAATCAGTTTAGTATAACCACTTTATTATTAAATGATACATGAATATGAATCCTCAATTTAATTTATATGGATTCAAAAACATAATGATGTTCAAGGATATTATTTTACAAGTCAGAAATGGATCATTTTGAAATGCATAACTAATAAAAGGATAGTAAGGATTTGATTTAAATTTGTAAGTTTTATAATAAAAGATATTCGACAAAAGTAGAAAATTAGTATTTAGTAAATATAAATTTATTATTCGGAGCTTATAATCAACTTAAAATAAAATTTAACAAAATTTAAGATAAAATAAAATTTAACTTTTATACATAAAGCTTGATGATAATTTTAAAACTTGAAATTAACTCCAGGTTTATTAAATCTCTAAAAGGGTAATTTTATTATGTTATTTTACATTATTGGTTCTCTCTTATTATAATTCTATATCTATTAAAAATTATTGTCATATCTTCTTACCTCTGGCTATTATTCTTTAAATTTCTTTTTTAACCACTACATTAAGGTAATTGATATAACGTTAACAATCCGAAATTCCTATAGAAACATTTAAGCAAATAACAAGCACTCCATTATTTTGGGTTATATATTTCTTAGTTTAGCCTTTTCTCTTTTGTTTGTCTATACCTCATTACTTCCATAAGTAAATTAATTATCTGATTTTCTTCGTAAGTCCTCGATTATTGATATTGGGATATGAAAAAAATCAAAAATATTCTCATCTTTTTAGATATATGATTAGGAAATGTGCATATCAAAAAAAATAATATTGATCTTCTTAACTTGCCACAATTCCATCTCTAAAAAGGTTAATACAACTATTAGATTAATCTTCATAATAATAATCATTTCAAGGATCACAGGATTAGAAAGACTCACATTTGTCTTTTGGTTTTACTAAATAGAATGGTTCAAGACATAACAATTTATACATTATATATTTCACATTAATATGTGCATAAAAAGCATCTATAGAAGTTTAGATATTATAACCGCATATTGATTAACAAGTATTGCTTATTACTTTCAAATAACATCCTAAAGAACATTATTTGCAATAACCAAATATGCATTGAAAAACTAATTGATAATAATAACATTTATTAAGAAAATTACTATTTGCTTTATTATATTCTTATTTCTAAAACAACAATATAATTTCCACATTTTGATTAGTATGTAACATAAAAACCTTATTAGTATGCAAACTTTTTACAGTGTTCAAAACAAGTTTTATCATAAAATCAGAATTCAAAGAAAATTAATGAACTCTTCTTTTAATTCTAGACATTAATTTTCTTTAATTTATTCATAATACGGTTCAATATATTTTTTTAGTAAATTGATTAGGTTTGCATTTGTGATATAAAGAATTGAGTTCATAATTAGTTAGATATGATATGGATTCTCCATTTTGACAATTTTCATAATACATTCTTCATGATTATAATCTAATTTATATGCAGATTGAATAAGAGAATAACCATCCATATAATTTAAGCATTTTGCTTTTATGCAATCCAAACATGAATGTGAATAATTAAATTATCATCATCCCAATCTTCATGATTTTTAATGATATCATGTCCACAAATTGAATAACACACAATTTGTTTATATTTTGATAACTAATATCACATAAACATTCTTCTCTTGTTTTATAGATAAAATTGAATATTAACATTTATCGTAGAAAAAATTTAGCAATGTTAACATCAATCAATAGGTAATGTTAATATATCCTCAAACATTTCTTCTTTCACTTGTGCAAAGCCATAAAGATCAATTACTACTAGAACATCTCCATAAATATTCCTGCTAAACAAATATTTTTACAATCACATGATAAACAACCAATTCTTAAAAAATCTACAATTCTTGCAGCCATCATAATCTTATTAATTTCCATCATCACATTGTTCTTAACCTACAACCAAAATATCTTCACATTTATAGAATCTGTGTATTCATAAATTATTTCATTTTCTAATTTATTTTTGATTTTTTCAATACCATTCACCTTAAAACTCTTTACAAATATCTTTGAAACATTTTGTGCAAGATTCTTAGCATAAATAATTGTAATTATAATATCCATCAAATTATATTATGTTGCTATCTTCACATTTTTCTAAACCAGTCACTTTTCATCTCCACAAATTATTATATATATATTACAAGTTTAACAATTTATTGGGCATTAAAATCTGCAATTAAAGCATTAATTATCTAATATAATATTACCGTCATCATATATTTCATTTTCTACAACTTATAAATCAAATAAGTTCGCATCTTACATTAATTAAATAAAAGTCTATATCACAAGATACACATCCTAAAAAATGCTAAATAAATAAGTTATTAATAGTTAAATATTGATCTATTTCTTCAAGACAACCTATATTATGTTTATATTTAATACTCAAAAAAACACTTGAAATATAAGTTGCATCAAATTACAGTTGAGAACAGAAGGTTTTTTAAGGGTCAACTTAGAATAAATTTATTCATCTAACGTTGATTGACATGAAATGAATTATCAATCAAAAAAAAAATGATTTTGGATATTTGAACATATTTATAATAAACAAAAATGGCTTTCTATATATATATATTGACAAACTTTTTTGAAATGTTCAATATATTTCTCATAGAATTGGGATCAACCTTTGCAGTTTATTGTATTTTTATTATTCTTTGAGAATATTAAAATATATTTATCATAAATTTTATCTTGACTCATTTTTACATGAGTTTTTATTAAGATTAGAAGATGGTTTTTGAATTCATTAACTTAAAATCAGAAAATATCCTTAATAATTTGAAATAAATCTCTTTCAATGATGATTCTACAATTTTATTGACAATTTAAAAATCATAGATCTAAACCTATTTCAATAAAAGGGAAAATTTAAAAAGAATCTCAAGTTTCAAAGTCCCTAAAGATGCCTATTTTTCACAACTTCAATATTTAACATTTACAAACTAATTTATAGCTATACCAAAATCGTAAATACTCATATCTTCACTTTGTACTTTGAATTCCAAAAAAATTGTACTTAAAGTTTAACACAATTTTTGTTCCTGTTACAAATTATTATTGAATAAGAATGAAAACATTCTATTTATAAGTTATTTTAATGAAATTCATATTTTTGAAAAATAAATTATTGCATGGTAATGTATTGATACACTACAATCACTAAGCCATAGGGATACAATTGAATAAATAAGCTTAAGTCTTGATGAGGATTAATTAGTAATTCATACAAGTAATGGTTATAGTGGATCACCTGCTATTTTAGTTTATAAAAAACAATATATAGACAAATAAATTTAATGGGTTTTAAAATAAAGAATAAATTAAGAAAATGGAGAGCTTATAGGATTTCTTAATAATAACTAATTTCTATTTTTGGATTATTATAGCACACAAATTTACACATTAAATAAAGAAAATTAAAAATTTGAATGCACAAATTCTATAAATTTCAGATAATCTAACTTTTAATTTAAATCTTTTGTTTTTTGGCATAAAAATTAGATCTTACTAATTATAACTTAGGATAATATTAGTGTAATGTAATTATAGAAATTGCAAATATTAAGCTAACTTCAATCGATTTAAATCGATATATCAAAATCAATAGATGTAGATTTTGCAACAAATGAATTCCATTCTATTCTCACAAACGATGGAAAATATCTATTTATCTGGAACAAAAGAAACACTTAAATTATAAGAATTTTGTATATTTGATGCAAGAAGATTCATTTATGGATATAATAAATATAATATAATTATAAATTCATAATTTAAATTGTTTAAATAATCTAGTTTTACTATTTAAATAATACTTATTATATCCCTAAAATAATAAAAATAAATCTACCCTTCTCTTTTATAAATTTTAGAGCAAGTTAATTGATTTTAAAAACATCTAAATTATGAAAAGGATTTAATTATAAGTAGTTTTTTCATTATAATTAGTTGTTAGATTCACTTGAGAGTTATATAATCAAATTAGAATATGAAAAAATACTTACCTAATTTTAACTTTATCATACTTAAATTTCTAATGAAAAAGAAATGCCTATCTAGATTTGATATTTTAAGATTTTCTATTTTAGGTTTTTCTTTTTAGAGAAATATTCTTATAAAAAATCTCCTTTATAATTCATTTTTTTAATTGTATTTTGCACCTAAATCACTATTAAATATAGCTTAATCAATACTAAAAAAATAAAATGCATTTTCACAATTTATTCTTCTTAATAACTAATAAATGAAACAGTATTAAATTTAGAATGTTTTATGGTAATTGATTATAATATCTTGCTAACTACACTACTTATTTAATTGAATCATAATTTTGTGATAACCAACAGCTACAATAAGAAGTTGAACATTTTATTTAATAACATCTTTAATTTCTAAATGTATATATTAAACTTGAACTTAATTTATATTTGATTTAAAAGGTTTAATCATCATCATAATTCATTCTATATTTATTGATAATTTTCTAAATTTTTTAAAAAGTTTTTTAAATTAGAATAGTCTGAATAGTAATCCACATAAATGTAAATTTGACATAAATTAATAAATCAAAATTCATAAAACCTTTATCAAAAGATATTATATTCTAATGATTAAATATAATTTTGTTCATTAGATTGTCTGATTAAGAAAAAATTTCATCTTATCAAAATATAAAATGTTTCAATTTCTCTTGATTATTTTTCATAGATTTCCTTGATTAGAGTTTATTAAAAAAAATATTTTACTTTTTGCTACCATAATAGGATGAAACTTTTTTTTAAGAATATATATTTTTCATCTTATTTTAGCCTGATGTTTCACATTAACCTGAGAGTTGGGAGATAAAAAACATTTTTATTGTCAAAAAAACAAAACGATTTTATTTTTCTTTATTTATTTTATTTCATTATTTTATAAATTCATTTTATTCTGATTTACCTTTTCATTTATTCCCTACATATTAATATCAAAAAAATAAATATAGTATACAATTTTTAATCAAAAAAATAATGAACTAATTATCAAAGAAATAAACATAAATATATTGATGTAGTGAATAATTAAATTCAATATTTTTATTCGAAAAATAAAATTTGAGCGAAAAATATTCTAAAATTTATGGTTTGCATTAAATCTTTTTTTTTAAATAATTTCTATTATTACATGCCATTAATATCTTTAACCTTCTAAATAATTTACAAAAATAAAACGAAATTTTTATCAAATTTATAATTTTTTCTAATTCAGTAAATTAAAAAGTAAAAATTTACCACTAACTTTTCAGTAATCAAAAGCAAATTTTATAAAACAAATTAAACTCTCATTTTGTTAATATTCTCTCCCAAGTTCTAAAAGAGATTTAAAGGCACTTTAAGTATCAAAAGTATCATTAAACATATTGAAGGAAGAAAAAATTCATAACTATTTAAGATAAATGAATATTCATAACCAATAAGTATATTTAACAACAATATTTATATTATTAGGCGAAAGAGAGTGAATATTTAAATAATAAACAATTGAAATATAGCATAATTTAAGATTGTAAAATTAAATACGGCAAATTTCAATGACTCTAAACTTATATTGCTAATATCAATTATGTTTGCTCTATCTAATTTTAAATTGTCGAGATAATAGTAATAGCATCATAAGAAAATGATATAGTAAATACCCCAACTGCAGTCATCTAAGACTTTAATAAAGGATAAAATGTAATAATATTGGCACTGTTTAAGCAATAATTGTATTATTTTTTTAAGCTGCATGAATTACAAATAAAAATTTATGTCTATAGTTTTTTCTTTAGGGCATCACATTAATATTAAATGATAACATGAAGTTCAGATATTTATGATACAAAAAGTTTTTCAGTTGTAGGAGTAGAATAAACCTTATTAAGTTCAGTGATGACTAATTAAAATACAGGTTATGGTTAAATTGAATAATACTCTGTTTGACTTATTCTCACAGTTTTAATAATCCATGGCAAATAAACTTTTGAAATAGTTCTATGAAAATAAGCATTGGTAAATCTCAATGTTTAAACATTATTTCCATAAGCATCCCCTAAAATAATTGATAAAAAGCCTACATTTGCCATAAGTATAGTAATTTGAATATGGTATTCTTTTAACTCTAATATTTATAGTTTATCCCCATTTTAATCCTTATAAGCCAATAGTCCAATCTTTATCATTTGGATATACAAATGTAGGGCTAGTGTATAAGTCTCCATTAAACACTATTTAATCATCTACATCGAAAGCATCAGGAATTGCAAGAAATATTTAATAACCTAGTTTAATTAAGTTTAAATTATTTGACTTGATTTCAATGACAACATCTTAAAAATTGATACTTACAATCTACAATGATTTAAAATGATACAGATATTTAAAAATCGATTGGTCCTTTGTAACAAAAAGATGTCAAATGGATGAATCCTTTTGAAAAGTTAGGATTAAAATGAGGATGAGTGATTTAAGTAGAAAAAGTTGCACTAGATTGTTATATATCGTAATTTACTACACTGATGACTTAAATTCTTCTATCATCATATGCATACCAATTAAAAGGAGTATCCCAAACTCTATGCTAATATAAACATCTGAGTTAAACTTTAAACTCTAAATATTATATTGATATTTACTGCTTGTAGTTATTTCAGTTACTTAGATATCATATCCATTAGGTTAATAATAGTCATAGTTATATTTATAGATGACTATTGAAACCTATGGTGGTCTTTCAAATGTTCCTGAAAATATAAATTCTTTTATATAATTTGTATTAGGATTTCCTAGGAATCCATTTTCCCAATTGTATTATGTAGCAAATCCAGTATCATATGTTATATAACCACAGGTGAAATCTATCAGTAACATAATAAATGCAAATCTATGATATTTCATATCTATTAATTTATTTTTTAATTATTATCTAGAAAATTTAATATATAAATAACAACATCATCTTTGTCTATTAACAACCAATCTTGAAGAAAATCAATTCAAAACTAAAAAACATGCTTCATATATTTGAGGTCATTTTAACATTTATAACAATATTTTTATAATTATTCGTTTTTCTATTGATAATTATTTTAACGAAATAAATCAATTTCCATACTCAATTTTAAAGGAAATCATAAATAATTTCTAAAATATATTGGATTGTAATTGCAACAAAATATAGGTTCTCTTTGTTATTATAAGTTAAAAAACTATTAAATATTATTGAAATACTATTAATCATTTATTTTATATGTTATTCTAATATATTCTTTATTGAGCATGAAAAATTAGATCATTAATTTTCTTTATTCTTAATAAATCGATATTTATACAACAAATGTCAGTTATGATAAATTAAAATGAAAATGATGTAGAAATAATTTGATATGGCTTGAGAAAATGCATAACAACATGTTTTTCGTTTTAATGGTATCGTACAGATCATCAAATTCTTTGATCATAAATCCCTCTGAAATTTAATGATGTATAACTATAATCACAATTATTAGAATGTAAATGTTTCAATATTTAAAATTTTCCAGAATATTTAATTTTAGAATTTTGTGATTGCTGCTAAAAGATTTTGCGTTTTGAGAATCATAATTTTTATTTTTTTATGAGTTTTAAGAATTAATATATACTTATATATAATTATACTAAAAATATATAATAAGTTTTGCTTGAGAATCATTGATAAAAAGAGAAATCTTGTAAGGTGATAACAGTTTTTCTTCATCAATTTTTACAAATCAAAAATAAAATCATAATAAAAATAAAATTTTTTTATTTTTGAATAATTGAAAATCATCTAAAATATCATTATGTGTTATTTTTTCTTATAATCATTTGTTGTGAAGTGTTATAATTGGCATAAATACAATACAGATAGTTATATTTTATATAATACTCGTCTAATGCTAACAATATATTTATGTGATTAGGCTGTCCATTTTCATATTAATCTAACCTAAATTTTTGTGCAACAGGAAAATTTTAGACCTGATCTCTTTTTATTAAGTTTAAAAATTGACCTCCTTAAAATTTAATTATCATAAACATACTCGGTTTCTTTTTGTTTTTTAAATGAAATATAAAATTTATTTTTCTCAATTAATTAAATATAGTTGTTGTCCAAAGTTTAAAATCCATATTACTTTATGATGTTAAGACGTTATTTATTTCTAATCATTAATTCTTTAAACATTATCTAATATGTTATATGTGATGAAAATTTTGTGATCATTTTGACAACTCCATTTATTATTTTTGAAATTTAAATTTATTTTATTTATTTTCATCAAATGAATGCAATTAGAAATAATAAGAATTATTAATTGAAAAAAGCTTCATACAATAAATTTATCTATAAACTTCCTACATTTCATTTATTTTAAGATATAATTATGTATTTCTTGATTCTATTTAAAAGAATATTAATATTATTGATTTGACTTCACTTATTTTAATATTTTTTATTCTTAGTAATTGAATATGGTAAAAAAAGACCATCTAAAAAATCATTTTATAGTAGTTGGGGTAATCCTTTTAAATATAAATTAGAGTTGTATATAAATATATGAAATTATTCATTATAAAAAAATAATCAAAACGAGAAAAACTAACCTATAACATTTTGATAATTTAGTATCTTAGAATTATTGTTTTAAATTTTCTTCCTAATATATTTGATAATTGCAATTTCTTCAAAGTTTAAACATGCCATTAATTTCAAACCTACTTCAATCAATTAACTTTGTTTAGTTTTACTAGAGGCTTGAAATAATTAAATAAGGAATAAAATATAAGAGTAAGCACTAGTTGCATTTTTTTTTGACTTCGACAATGATAAGAATCTGCTTCACTATAAAAGATGAGCATCCATATTCTCCAATTTAATTTTAAAATTTAATTATATTTTTATTCTCATCAATTAAAACTTGAATCTCTTAACATGCCTCTTTTTATTATTTAGGATAAATTAATTGTCACATTTTCAACCCATTCCTTAATAACAATCAATATAGACAAATGAACATTAAAACTAACGTTAATAATAGCCTTAAGAAGGTAAATATAGTAAATTGAATATAACAACAAATTCTTATGTTAAATTGTTCTTCATTGTTTTAGATTACCATGAAGCATAAATTAAATAAATCATCCCATACACATTCCTAATTATCAATATCTCAGCGACATTATTTTGTATTAAATTTTCTTCATGGACATTATTCATGAGATGTATAAGAATAATCTGCTAATTCGTAATCACCTATACAAGTCTAAGTGTTAGAATCGAATACACAGTATGATCTAAACATTTATTAAAATTAGAAGAAGAAAGGGGGATATGCCTGAGTAATTGGAGCATTATTTTTCAAAACAAACAATATTGAAAAATGAAAAAATAAATAAATTTTTCTTTTATTGTATTATAATACTTTTTCATAAAATTCACTAGAATGCTACCATCCAAATTAAAAGCCTTCCAATCTAAATTTTACGTATGTAATGAAGCAGAAGAGAAGTTATTGTAACCTCTAACTATCTCACGATTCGTTCCATTTCAAAAACACTTTAAAGTAATCCGGATTTGGTAAATTAGAGCAATTAAATAATTATCATTAACTATTTAATAATGACATCCATTAGTTGTAGAAATTTAAAAATTAGTATGAAAGTAAGGATATAGATTTAATTAACATTAATCCTAAATTTTCATATCATTATAAATTTTGGCATCCTTATCTAAATTTTTCATATTATTAATATAGTTTATTTTAATCTTGATTAATATATTTTTCAGATTCTTTATAATCATTTTAATGATTCGAATCTGGATCAAATTCCCTTTTGATAATGAATTCTCTTTGTTTTTGTAATTTTTTTTTCAAAGTTAATTCATCTTCATCTCCATCAATTTAATTACTATCTGAGCTAGGTTCTAACTCTACCCCTTATTCTTCTTCGTAATTATGGTTTTACTCTTAACTAATATTTTTTGGGTTTTCCTCTTCTTCACCTTAAGAGTAAACTTCATCATTATAAAATATAGGTTGAGGATTTTTGGATTCATACTTATTAGTTTAAATATTTAGGTTTTCTTATTAAGTTATTGAATCAAAATATCAGCCTTGAGTTTGGTTAGGTTTTATTATGATTTTTATATTTTCGAAGATTATTAATTTTATTGCATTCATATTTATTTTAATTATTTTATCCCAAAAATCATTTCTATTATCATTACATTTTTTCATTTGTAAATCTTTTGTCTAAATCTTAAAGGTTCTTAATATTAAGAACATTCTTTAATTTAAGTGATTGAGACAGACTAAATATTGAAGCAATTATTTATTCTTTTTAATACATAGTATATATCAAAATCTGTTTTGATTTTCAAATTTTATTCTATATTAACCAATATTTTTTTAAATTTTGAAAACTAATTTAAATTTTATAATTTTTGAATGAATTAAATTGTTACCCTGTTATTAATCCAATGGAGAATTCCAAAATGTTCTCTCCATAATTAAATACAATTAGAATTTGTTTTAGATAAAATATAAGAAATGATCAAGAAGCAAAAAAGCTTTTTAGATAAGTAAAATCAGAAAGTTAATAGTATTAATTCTTTGTCCGAAGATGTAAACCATTTACCATTTTTTCTTTTTTGCTTACCATATTATCCATATCAAGAAAGTTTATATATTTGATCCATATTATTAAACATCTCTTTTGGTTGTTGGAGACATCATGAATTTTTTCATTTTTTTAACTCATCTTTTAAATATATGATTTAATGAAATTTTCATTTTTAAGTTACAAATCACACAAAAAATATTAAAAATCATAGAAGTAGTCTGCAATCTTAATATTTATCTTAAATATTATACATACAAATTTATCGCATGGCTCTATCCATTTTCAAGTTTTTTAGCTTTAATCATCTCAGTTGTCTTTAGAAAATATTGAAATACATCTTTATTTTTTATTTTAAATACTTCTAAACTCCAATCTTCTAATCTTTTTTATATACTCCAATTTCATAAATTAATGCTTTTCTATTTTCAATTCATGTTTTTTATATCCTATAATTTTTGAATAATTCCGTCCATTTTTCTTGTTTCATTCTATCTTATGAATAATTAGAAAAATTACATCAAGCTTTTTAATGTAACATATTATAATGGCAAAACTAATTTTTTATTGATCAACTCTATTAGAAATATGATGAATTGTACATGATAAATAGTTTTCAAAGATTCTAATAAAATTCAATCAAGTTGAAATTAATTTAATTCTTATTATTACTATTTTTGAATTTTAATATATACTTCCATCTAAAATAGAAAAATTAGAAATTAATATATATAATATTTTATTTAATAAAGGATACGAATTTAATTATATTTTAAAGAAATGACCTTTAAAATATTTCAACAATTGTGATTTTTGACTTTGATGATCCAAAAGGAAGGTTTATTTAATAATATGAAATATTCATTTAAAAAGCAATTCTGATAAATCTCATTCTTTATTTATTATACATAAGATCGAATGAATAAAAAATTCTGTGATTTATGCTTTCATTTATAATTTATTACAATTCAATATATATCATGCAAAGTATGACTTTAATTATTATTTAAATTTATTTTATATAATTATATACATACAGGATTGCTTCATACTAAATTAGATGTGTAATACAAGGAAAGGGTTTAATTCCATAGAAGAAAGGGTCTTCTTGCTCATCTTATTGAGGAAATACATCATCTTGTAAGATGGATATTGTGCTAGAACCACTAAATGGAGAGTTAAAAAATGTGATAAAAAACGATATTTAAAGGAGTAAATCAAATGGGAAATAATTCTTGCAATAAGACCAAATGAAAATTGAATGTAGACTTCAGCAACATCTACAAAATGCTAATTAAGATATTAAGATTAATGATAAATTATATAGAATCAATATTCAAATTTTTATTATAAATAAGAACAAAATATATTAAGAAATACTAGATGTTATGATTTTTTTGTAACTTTTTATCATGATGATGTTAGAAATGGTTTTAATCATAAATCCCTATTTAAAGGAACAAAAGAATGAAAACATAACAGCAGCTTCCAAATTAAACATTTTTGATGATATTTATTCACCTACTTAATGATACAGATTGAGGTAATTACTTAACTGATTGTGTTGTTGATTCAGTATTACATTGATACTCCTGAATAACATGACAAATTAATAGGAAATAAAACAACAAGATTTTGGAATACAGATGCTTTTAGTATAGTTTTTGCTTGTGTTATTAAACTCTTTAGAATTTAATTTATTATTTTATGTTAGCTTTATAATCTATAGGTTGTTATAAAAAACTTGCAATACAATAAGATTGCAAAAAACTAAGTAAGTATGGCTTAATTTTCAATTATTAATTAAATCTATCAGATTAAAAATAAAAAAGGACATTATATTAAAAATGATATTAAAATATGCATTATTTATATTAATTAAGAAATATTCGTGACAAATAATTCTATAAATCTAATTTCAATAAAAAAAATATTTAATTTCACTACATGTTAAGATATGTTAATTCAAAAATTCTAAATCTTAGTAAAGGTTAACAGATCCAAACAACAAAATATTTTCCATCATTTGTAATATTAAAACAACAAACTTCATAATGGCATTCTAAAGGTTAAAAAACTTATTAAAATTTACAATCCTCTAAGTTATTTCTGAAAAAATAAAAATATTTATGATGCTTTATTACTATTAATTAAGTTGGAATATTAAAAATAATTTAAAATTCTTATTATGGCTTCTCATCAAGATTTTAAGCTTCAAAATTAAATACTTACTACCTTTAGTATTAATCCTGTATTAATTTATAGCCTTCTAGCTATCCTTAAGATGTTTTACATATTATTTAATTATCCATAAGGAATCTAGCACCTCTATTTATTTCTTAAATCGATAAGAGGATAATATTTTTAAATTGCCATTTTAATTTTTAGTTCTTTTCCCACAAAATAACTTATTAGTCTTCACCCTAAGAAATTAATTATTATTCAGATTCATTTAAACTTATTGATAATACTTATTGTTAATGTTTCTCAAGAGAATCAAACAATCTAATTTAATTTTGATCATATGAAATTCTCCAGATTTTAATTGTCTTATCAATACTACAAGATATCAATTCATCCTCTTATGAGTTTAAAATTAATTAGATTACCCAATTTGAATGTGTTTTGTTAGCTTTGCTACTCTCCCATTTTATTGAAGAAAACCAACCCTATTTTTCTTTCCAGCTTCTAATTGTATTATCCTCACTTCCAGAGAAAAACCAATTATATTTCTTACTAAAAACTATACATTTTATTAACTTTTCATGACCATCTAAGATTATATTTGTATCAATTAATTATCCTTATTAAAAATTCCATATTTTAATATTGTTGTTTAAACTACTAACCATAATAGATTTATTATTATTGAATGCTAATGCATGACACCATTCATTTTATTTATATTCTTAAACTAACTTGTATTAAATCTAGTTATATGGTTTTTTTTCTGCATAATCAGATTTTAATTGTAAATTCAATCGGTTAAAAAAAACACGAGAAAAAATTCTATCTAACATTAAAGTATTTTAAGCATTAAGCAAAGACTCTTACAATTAATTTTTTGTAAATTAGATTTTTTTTTCATATGATTAGTTTATAGTTTAAAAAACTCTTTTAAATTTATCAATTTATTTATTTCTTATTTCATCAATAGATTAATTTAATTAATCTATTTCATCAAAAAAATTGTAAGAGCATTATTTAAATTCTAATTATTATATCTCATCCATCCAAATTGTAACTTAACTTATCATTTAATCCATAGTTTATAAAATTTAAGTCTTATTTTTTATAATTTCTCCAAGATAATTATTTAAAATACTTAGAATTCTTTAGCTAGAATCAGAAATTATATTAAGGATATTATTTTTACGTTCTTAAATAGTTTATATTGCTTCATTAATATTAATACCATTAAATCGTCCTTTTAAATCATTTATGCATTATGAACAGATTAATCTTTAGACTCCTTTAAGATTATTATCAAGCAGTACTATGCTTGGAGGACTATCATGTTATTTGTAACATTAAATTGAGTCAATCTTTTCCTACATATTGCATTTTAATTATTATTTAATAACTGTGTTTTCAGATGATATTATTTTAGAAAAATAAAGACTTTGATCAATTATCTACTTATCCTTATTCTTAATATTTTATTTTTATTTTAATAAGATCTTTGTTATCTCTAAAAATGTTTCTTTAATAATTAAATTGTCTTTGGCTGATACCTAAAAAAATTATTTAATTCTATTATATTTGCACCATTACTCAACAAGATAACTTTTGATTATTTTATCATTTTCTTTAAAGTCATTTAATATGACAAATATAGGAAAATTTTCTGGATCATCTGTTTTGATTTATTAAACCCAATAATCCAATGTTTTTATCGGCTTAGTATCTCTACTTTCAATAACTATGATATAGCAATTTGCTTTTCTATAATAAGGGGATATTAAAGGTTAAAATTTTTCATGACCTGAAGTATCCCAAATCTAAAGTTAAATTTAATTATTACTTCAAGAGAGACATTTTGATCATTAATCTTTACAATTTTTTTAAAATATTCTATTGTTACTGTGAGATATGGGTCTTAAAAAAATTTAGAATCAATATATTGTTATATTATAGATGTTTTGCCAACGCTGAATAAAAATTATCAAATAAAGTTACCCAGATGATCCGATGAGCATTAATTTAAAAGTTAACTATGAATGAGTTGACATCTTTATTTTTATTTATATTATTAAATATTTTAAGAATAATATCTCAATTACATTTGAATTCAAAGTAAAATTTGTGCATCCTAAATTACTGAAATGTTTTTAAAAATTATATTATTTTTAAGGTACAAAAACTTAATTTTATTACAGGTCTGAAATTTTATATATTACATAACTCAAGTAATTACATCTTTGATTTTTTTTTAATTAATTTTTAATTAAAACTTACAAATATTATTATAATAAACATGGGAATTTATGTATAATAGTTCATTCAAAATTTAATTTTATTGTTGGCGGGTATTATGAAAAAAATGAAATAAAAAGAACCAAGGCAAATTTGAATAAAGTCAGAAGTTTGGAAATAGATTACTATGTATAGATTATTGGGTGAACATAATTTAAAAATAGGTAAAAATATTTACAAACATTTGAAGGGGGAGGACTTATTATCTTGTTATTCTTTTTCTATCCTTTATATATATTAAATATTTTTGAAAAAATGTCAGCTCCTTATATTATTATTGAATTGCAAACCTAACTTGATAGTCCTATTAAAATAGATGAAGTTGTTTATGTAGATACAAGGATCAATAATCAAAAGTATTTGCAAATTAACATGTTGAATTAAATTAATAATAATAATAAAGTTTTTTATGTTACTAACATTGCTTGAAAATGTATTTGAAAAATTTTGATGATAGGAAAATAATTATGAAAAAGTTAAATCGTAATATTTTGAATAAATCATTTCAACCCATTTGTTATCCATTCTTATCACCTTAATATGAATAGATTGAATTAAATATTTTGTTTATGATTTCTTAGTCTACTTTTGTTTAATGCTACTTATAAATAGGTTTTATTAT